GGGTGCTGGGCCCCCGGCTTTGGTTGACCCTGCTTGGGCAGGGGGTTGGGCTGGGTGACCCACAGAGGTCCCTGCCAACCCCTGCCATTTTGTGATTCTGTGAAATGCTACCAAGAAGAACAGTTCTGTGTAGCCATTGCCTCGAGGTGGGTGTGGGTGGAGGCTGGTGACCTGGAGATAAAGGAGTGGGTGTTTGCCCAAGCGATAGCTCCTGAGGGCACTAAAGCAAAGCGTGCAGTGGGCGGCTGGCAGAGCGCTGGCGGAAGGAGAGGCCTCTGGGTGATAGACCTGGTCTGGGGGTGGGAGGATGGGCGCCAGTGACTGGGCGTGTGGGAAGGAGGAGCAGAAAAAGAATGTAACTAATCACATCATCATTTGTGGCTGGGGGGGGGGAAGTAATGAAGTCACTTGTTTCTGTTGCCATTGTTTTCCTGGCTCGATCACACCTGGGCTCTCAAACAGGACGCTTACCTTCATGGATGCTTTCTCTTAGCTGGTTGTGGAGCTTCCTTAGACTGCTAGAATTAACCAAGTGTACATTTCCTAAGGTTTCAGCATGAGCTATGCGTTACTCTATTTAGTTGCAGCTTCTGGTGATCTCTAAATGCTGAATTGTCATGACTTGAAACCTTGCAGAGCAGGAAGAGCGAGTTCGTGTTGCTGCTCTAGTCTGCAGACTCTGCACGAGGAAAGATGTACTGTGGAGAAGATAAGGCTCTGAAACACTTGAATCCATTGAATTTCTGGTTTGCTACTGCGTAAATCCATAGTCTGCTGGTATCTCAAGTACTTTGTGACGCTCCTGGTCACTGAATGTCGAAAATGATGGAACTAAAGGTTGAGAAGAAGACAGCAAAGACAGCCACAAGGCCGTTTCATTGTCACCTGCCCTGTGATTCCTGAGATCCCCCGTGCTGGTCCTGGCGGGCTGCTGCTGGTCCTCCCAGTGGCCTTCTCCGGGTGGTGGCCCTGGGAGACCCGCACTGCCTGGACGCGTTTTCCGGGGCCCCTTCGCTCCGGCTGCTGAGGCTCCGCTCGCCGCTCCTGGCACCGGGTGCTCTGTCTGAACAAGTTCTGTGGGTGCTGCCTGGCCTGCAGCTGGGCAGGAGTCCTGAGTCACTGTAGCGTTGGAGGCTGGAAGGAAACTCTCTCATGTCAGTTTGTGTCGTGGGTTGAGTGATGGTAGTCTGTTTTTGGGTGATCAGACTGCCTGGCTCCATGCGTTCAGCTGGTGGGAGATACCCGCTGGCCGCCTCTGTTCTCCATCCACATCTGGCTCTGATGTTTGGTTACGCTGCTTGGCTGAAATTTTTGGAAAGCGTCTTACGAGCTGCTTGGTGTGTTAGGATATACAATTTTGGTTTTTTCAGAGGAGCTAAAATTACCTTCAGGGCAGAACAATAACGTGGTCACTGACTGATGGTTGCTGCCTGGTACAGTTTTCTTCTCCTTTTGTTTTTCCACTCCCACTTGTTCCCCTTCGCTAGCCAGAAAAGGCACGTTCAGAAACATCTTGTTATTTTTGGAAAAAAAATGTATTAATATATGATTATTAATTTTCTTTCGGATAGGTGCCTCATGTTTGCTTTGTCTTACAGCAGTCTTTGCTTGCAGTGGGTAGTGTCCCTTCAGCTCTCAGAGTCTCCTGCAGCAGTTGGTGCGCTTGCAGGTTTCAGCGTGAGGTCGAGAGAAACGAGACAAAAGGAGAAGTCTCGCCGGAGAGGGCAGCTTGCTCCATGTCTCAGCCTTGAGCTGTTCGGATTGAAATGGAGATGGTAAAGCTGATGGAAGGGGTCTGTGGGGCCCAGGCACTGAGGGGGCCCTCGGGACTTGTGCGGTTTTGGCAGAACTTGCACCCGGTCGTCTTGGTGTCCACCTTTCCAAAGCAAGAGGAGAGCTGGTTGTTTTACATGGAAGTTTGTGTTAAATGAAGCTATTTTTTCTGTTTCTTCAAAGAATACACTGCCACTTGTAAGTGTAGAAAAGATACGTGCAAGTGACAAACTGAAGCACAGGAAGTTCCGTCTGAAGATGAGGAAGAACTTCTTCCCTCTGAGGGTGACGGAGCCCTGGCCCAGGCTGCCCAGGGAGGCTGTGGAGTCT